CGGTGTTATTGCTACAATACTGGGAGACGTGAGTGGTCTCTTCATTCCCTTCTCATCGCACTTTACCATGACGAACGTGACTCGCACAATTGAATTACGCATCTGTGTATCAGAGAGAGACGAATATTAAAAATTCCGTAGTAGCTTATTTCAGGCACACGCCAAGAACGATGAAACCGAGTTTAGTACAACGTTTTTACCGCTTCAATCAATTCTATATTTATATTTGTTTTCCCCAGTGCCTCCCATAATTTATCAAGCGGGACACTATCATATGCTTTCCTAAGGTCTACGAACGTCACGAGCAACTTTCTTTTCAATTATCTGAGTAATAGAGAAGACATGGTCTATTGTAGATCGACCTGCACGAAAACCAGCCTGTTCTTCGGCTTCCATATCTTGGTATTCTTCTTCTATTCGATTTTTTATTATTTTCCCATATATTCTGCTAATACTACTAGTAACTGCCATTCCTCTAGAGTTTTCAGGTTTCGATTTATCTCCCTTTTTATGGATGGTGCTCATATGCGATTCTTTCCATTCCTCAGGTATTTCATGTTTATTTATGCATTCTTGGAAAAGTTGTCGTAGCCGTTGAATTAGTATTTTGGGTCCATGTTTGATGAGTTCCGGAGCTACATTTCCTGGGCCAGGTGATTTGCCATTCTTTAGATGTCTGCATACGGTAGACCATAGTTCTCTAGCTGTTTGAAGGGCTCTCTTGTCTCTGTTAGTTAATATTTAAAGTATTCTTAACAAGTTTGCGGTGATATGGACTGGATAATATCTTTTTTCTGTTGTTTCTTAAATTTTTTTAAGAGTTTCCAGCTTTCTGAACTTTGGCTTCCACCAATGTATGTATTTAGCATGGTGCACTTTTTTCCCAGGATTCATTTTTCTTTTGGCATATTTTTCTTCTGACCATCGCTTGCATTCTTTTGTATTCGATTCTGTCTTCCACATTTCTTGTGTTCAGATATTTTTGATACAATTTTCTTTTCTGTATTATTTCCTGCGAAATATCTTGATCCCACCAATATGGTTTTTGTTGTCCGATCTTTTCATATCGCCTTAGTGCTTCTAGGGCAGCGGCGTGTATACATTCTTTGATGGTTTTGTATAACTGATTAACATTCCTGGTATTATCTTCCGTTCAATTAGTTTTTGTTCCAGTCTACGTTTATATACACTTTCTTGGTGTAAACTTTTCAAATTGTATCGTACTTCTTGTACTTGCTCCTTGGTATGGTTATCTTGCGGCGTTTTCTGTTCTCTTTTATGTGGAAATGAAATATCTGAACGTAGGAGGTAGTGGTCACTGCCGCAAGTGGGTCCTCTACATGCTCTTACGTCTGTTGTTTTCAGTCGACTTTTTGTTTGAGGATGACATAGTCTATAACTGATTTTAAGTTTCGGGTTTCCTGAGTCCACGTATATTTATGAATGTTTCTATGTTGCAAATATCCATTCATGATTCTGAGTCCATTGTGATCAGATATATCTATTAACCTTTCTTCGTTATTGTTCGTATTATCTTCTCCATATCTACCTACTATTTTATCGTTGTTCTTTTTTCCGACTCTGGTGTTGAGGACTCCCAAGATTATTATTTCTCTTGTGTTACCCACCTCTTGTGTTGTGATTTCTTCATTAAGTTGTTCGAAAAAGTTATCTTTCACATTTCAAACTTAAATGAACAGTGTAAAACCCATTTATGGTTAATTCATATTGTTAGTATAATAGTATATCTAATTCAATAATCTTAATAGTATTATGAAATCATATATCGACAATAACGAGATAATTTACAACAAATTGGGAAATTGAACTAATCAACCACGATTAGGTAAATGATCAAATATGCTAATTGGCAGCATTGATACGAATATTCTATTGAGACTTTCTAATTTTGTAACGGATTATTTTTAACACATGAGCGTACTTTTACGATGCTATAAATAAAAAGGAAATTATAGTCAACTAAAAAAATATGTGAACCGGCTGAAATATTTCGGGATGAGTTATAGTTGTCAAGCTGCTCTATCAATCACTTAAATATACTAAGGTATTTGAACTGAAAAATGTAGGTGAATCAATTCTCTTTGGAAATGTAAAAAAGATGTCCTAAAAACCTTTTTAAATAACTATAATAGTTCTTATTTCAAAGTTGATTGGTTTAATGGTTTAAAAATACCACTTGACACGGAAGCAATTATACAGGGCGTAACAAAAAGGTACGTCATAAATTAAACCACATATTCCCGAGCCAAAAACAGTTTTGAACCTAATTTTCCTCAGTACAGAGTTGTACATAAAAAAACTACCATTTAAAGCTTATTTCATGAACTGTCTTGGCTTTCTAAGGTAAGTTAAGTTCAATAGAACTATTGTAGGCTCCCGAATATGTGATTTAAATTATAACCTTAGGTTTTTGTTACACAATATACAGGGTGAGTCATAACTATTGGAACATAGACTAAGGACAGGTTATTTGGACCAAAATATGGCTATTGGGCCAAATATGCCTTAATAAAATGTTGCTGAGAAAAAGATACAGGGTGTTAAAGTTAATTTTTGTTTTTCGTTTTTTGCTAATAGTTTCCCTGTATATTATATAAATTGCTATCAAAATTGGCACAGAGGCATAATCTTAGACAAGAAATAGTATTTTATTTACAATTTTACGTTTTGTCATAGAGGGCGCCACGTGGATCATTCCTAATGATCACATTGAGTCAAACTTTTTCTGATGAAACTTTTTAGTAATTTTTATTAGAAAATATGACGTAAACATAATTTTTACGTAAAAACATGATAATTTCAACCGTTTTCGATAAAAACGCAGTCGAACTGCTTAGAGTCTTAAAAAAGGATTTCAAATATTATTTCATTTATGAAAAGTATGCTTTGGACTCTCAGATAATTGTTGTTGGTAAATGTCATTTGTTCAGAGTAAATTATTTTTGATGTGACAGTGTAGTGTAATGTTGCATTTTTTAAAAGTAATCATTACTTTGATTGAAATGCCTCGTCACAATCATTTTACTAATGAAGAAATGCGAGATATGATTTGCGTATAGACACAAGAAAATTTTTGCGGTCGCTCGGCAGCCAGAAGGTATGGAATGTTATACGCAAACAGAAGGCAACCAAATCACAAAACTTTGCAAGATTATATCGTAGTTTAGGTGAAACTGGGTCATTTCACACTAAAAATCGGGGTGGTCGACCGAAACAAATCACACCTAATCAAGAAGATGAACTTTTGGTTCGAGTAGATGAAAATCCTGAAATAAGTTCACGACATCTATCAGCAGCAACAGAAGTAAGTCAGTCGTCTATTGTTAGAATTCTAAAAAAAGAGAACCTCCATCCTTATCACTTCACTCCTGTTCAAAATTTACTTCCAACAGATCTTCCACGACGGTTACAGTTTCGCCAACGTATTCTGAATAAACATCGCAATGACAGACACTTTATTAAGAATATTATGTTCACCGACGAAGCAACTTTTACCAGACGAGTGGTTTTTAATTGGCTAAATAGTCATTATTGAGAAGAAGAAAACCCGCATGCTATTAAAGCTAGACATTTTCAGCATGAGTTTAAATTGAATATTTGGTGTGGCATTATAGACGACCAACTACTAGGGCCTTATGTTCTTCCTCCGAATTTAAATGGAGATTCTTATTTATTCTTTTTGAAAAATACTCTTAGTGATATTTTAGATGATCTGTCACTGGATGTAAGAAGAAATATGTGGTTTATGCAGGATGGAGCGCCACCTCATTTTTCATTAGCTGTTAGAAATCATCTTCATGACGTATTCTCTCAACGATGGATTGGCAGAGGCAGTGATTTTCAATGGCCACCAAGAAGTCCTGAGTACTACAACCCGCTAGATTTTTATTTTTGGGGACATATGAAGTCCTTAGTTTATGCCATGAAATTAATACACGAGACGAACTTTGGAGATACATTCAAAATGCAGCTAATCTTATAAGAGAACAGAATAATAATTTTTTAACGTCCGAAAATCCTTTATAAAAAGAATTAGAAAAGGCATAGAAATCGGAGGAGACCATGTAGAACATTTAGTTTAAGTTTTTGTGAGTTCTTTTAAGTTAAAGTGTGTTTAGTTTTGATTTATCGTCAAAATGGAAACCTTACGTTAGTTGCAACTTTGTTTATTAGTTTGGTATTTGATAGTGGAATTGTAAATAAAATACTATTTCTTGTCTAAGATTATGCCTCTGTGCCAATTTTGATAGCAATTTATAAATATACAGGGAAACTATTAGCAAAAAACGAAAAACAAAAATTAACTTTAACACCCTGTATCTTTTTTCTAAGCAACATTTTATTAACGCATATTTGGCCCAATAGCCATATTTTGGTCCAAATAACCTGTCCTTAGTCTATGTCCCAATAGTTATGACTCACCCTGTATAATGAAGTTGACAAGTTTAACTTGTAAGAGAATATTGAATGATTTAATATGGAGACACATCAAAAGGACTTCCTACCTTTATTGAAAAATATTTCGTATTGTAGCTCAGTCTTAACATTATTATCTCTGCTATTCAATCCTTTTGTATTATATTGGTACCTATAACTTTTCCAATATAGTGTATTCTACCAGGAAACCTGATGAGCACAAATTTTCCTTCTGTTATTGGAATATTCGAATCTTCCTATTTCTTCCGGCGGCTTGGTTATCCTTCTTTATTTATTTTTTTCTTTTCCAGTTGTTCCCATGTTCATTGAATGTCGTAACTTCTCAAAATTTTAAATTGTCGAGAGTCGGTTCCCCTCTTTGTTTTGGGATGTTTTTTTGATTTGTCTCTTTATATTTTGATATATAATAATTACATGTATATAATAGAATAAAAGATAATATTAAGTAAAAGATATTTTTTCTTTGTCGGTCTAATATTTTGATCTATTTGTTATAGAGCGTGATATACAGCCGTTAAAGTCTTTGTGTACCGCTGATCAAAATGCAGCCGGACACAAGTCTTTGTCGAATGCCTGTGGAGCTTACACTGGCCCCTTACTACCTATCGGAGAGACCAGCTCTGACAAGTAAGTATTTAACAGAGATATATTCATATTTTTATTAGGACGTAGAACTTAATCGTAAACTTGAGTACGTATATGTTTATGTTCTAATGGCCAGAGAAAGTCCCTACTTATTTCGCACTTAGAGTGGATAGCTACAAAGGTGCCATCCAGTTTGATGACCATAACCGAAAACGATTGGCCACAAACGTTCCGTGTATGAATCGTTCTGTGTGAATTTGTATCTACCTTTTGTAGATATAATAACATATTTGTTTGTATAGTGGTGATTAGTTCTGTTTTTTTACCAACTCTCTCCAGTACTTCTTTATTTGTAATTCTATCAGTCTATAATATTTTTAATACTCTACGGTATAACCAGAGTCGAAAGCCTCGATTCTTTTTAAATTAATTTTTTTAATGTCCAAGTCTCAGCTCCATATAATAATATTGAAAATCAATAACAGCGAATGGTACGTAGTCTGATCTCCAAATTTAGTATGACTCATGAGGCTCAGTGTTCGATAATCAGAGCACTCTTTTGCTGCTTGTTTTTTAGGGATGGTTATAAATGCTAACTTCAGCCACTCTTGTGGTATTATTCCCGTATCGTACACCGTGTTGAATAAATCTGCCAATACTTTCAAGTTATCCTCTTCCACTTGTTTTAACAGTTCTACTGGATTTCATCTAATCCAGCTGCCTTATTGTCTTTAGAGTTTTTGATAGCATATTTGATTTCATCTATCGGGATATTCTGTCTCTTTAAAGGATTTATTTCTTGTATTTTCTACATTTCACCTCTTTCATCTTGGAAAAGTTCTCTAACGTACTCCTCCCATCGTCTTAATTTCTGTGGTAAATCTATTAGTAGTAGGTACTCCTTTTATGTTTTTTTGTGTCCTTGCTATCTATTTCGATTCATTCTAGTCACTTCTCTTATTTTTTTGTGCATATTTGTCATATCATATTTTGTTTCTACTTCTTCTATCTCTTTACATTGCTTCATCAAATAGATTTCCTTAGCTGTTTTGATTTTTTCCTTAATTATTCGTTGTATTTCTTTATACTTCTGTAGATCTTTTCCTTTATATTTCCTTCTTTCTTCCATCTGTAATAGTATTTCTTCTGTCATCCACTGTTTTTTAGCCTTTGACCTATGATATCTCCCTGGATCTCTGTAATGCTTCTTGCTGGCGATTGAAGTAAACTAGTATACCACATCTGTATGTATGCATTATTAATCTTTATTTTGTTTGTTAGATCTATGGAACCAACCGTTGGCCGCTGGGGCTGCGAATGGCCAAGTTGACTCGAAAATGAGAATTGTTGGTCTCAAAATGGAACCCTCCTAGGGTTTAAGCAAGAGCCCCTCTACGGGGCTCATGGGAATTTAAACGGCAACGTTGACGTGCCCGTCGACGCTGCTAGCTGCACATTGGCCCAACTCATTGAAGACGAACAGGACAACGGTCTGTGGCCCTTGGAGCATCCTCTTCCTCTTCCAGGATGGGAGGAGGAGTATATTGCTCCCTACAGACTAAATAACATCAGGGAATACGAAACGTTGGCCTGCGAAATTGAAATGCACCTACGCAAAGTGCTGGAAGAACACAATTACGATACCGTTGGCAATTTTTTGAAACTCTACGAAAGTTACAAAAAGAGCGGCAGCGATAACCTTCTTGAGTTCTTCCATTTGTAAGTATTCAATGTTTTTTCTAATACATATAAATGTCACGTACCTAATATACATATCTTTAGTTTTTTAATGTAAACACACTTATATAAAAAATAAAAAGTTTTGACGGTGAATAGGATTTCGGTATAATCCTTTTTATTTTTCAAAATTGTGATAACTATAGTGTATTTTTATGTATGAGAGAGTAATAAAACAATAAATTATGTATGCAAATCCCTAAACTGTTGATACGGGTGACTCAATGAAAAACAGATATTTGTCAACAAGTTTACAGAAGTATATAGGAAAACAATTTTAAATTGAGTATGACCACCAGGTATAAAGGTTGGAGCAGAATAGAATACAATAGTTGTGAGGGTTACTAATCCCTAAATAAGGTTGCCAGTGTCGGAGTGATGGAGGTTAACAGGTACTAATGAATTTGCAAGAAATGTAAGATGTTTATTTTATTGGTTATATATAACCAACAAAAGTTTAATAAGTACCTACCTATTTGCAAAATAAAGTTTAATTCTTTAGATAAAATAAAACGTTTTATTTTATCTGAAATGAGTGCATTCCACGAAGTAAGGGTTTCAACAATCAAACATTTAATTCTTTAATTCCAGGAATCTACGACAGTAATTGACTAGATAATTACCTTCTAAACTTATTCCACAGAAAATGTGATAGTGGGTTTTTCCATTTTGTAGGAAGGTCCAAGTGGCGTATTCAAAATTCTTAACAGTTCACTAAAAGTAGGTACTTCAGTTGCAAGGTGCAGTTTATTGTGTATACTAGTGTTATGGAAAATTTGGAAGTGCCGTGTAAACGCCGAGAAATTGGCCCTTTAACAGTTAATGAAAAAACATTAATATTTAATTGTTTTAAATCATTTACAGACAAACGTTTATGTGAAAGTGTTGATGAGACCGTTGAGTTAGTTAGCAGTACACTTGGTGTTGGGAAATCTACGATTTACAGAGTTATTAAAGAAGAGAAATGTGGTAGCTTTCAAATACCACGTAATGCTCCAGGGAAACCAAAATTTCAAATAGAATATCATTTTAAAGAAGGACTTCGACTGAAAGTGCATGAATTCTTCTTTAGACAAGAATTTCCAACATTGGATAAAGTTCTTGTCTCAGTTCGAGATGATAAGGATTACCCAGAAATGAGTCGAAGTACGTTATGGAAACTTTTAAAAGAAATAGGCTTCCGCTGAAAAAAGAATCCCAGAAAGTCTATTTTATTAGAAAGAAGCGATATTGTCATATGGAGAAGACATTTTCTAAGAACCATAAAGGAAATGAGAAACCAAAAAAGAAAAATATTTTATCTTGATGAAACATGGATCAACGAGGGTCATACACCAAATAAATTTTGGCAGGATGAAACTGTTACAAGTCAAAGGCACGCTTTTGTAAATAACTTATCTACTGGTTTAAACCCACCATCAGGAAAGGGACACAGGCTGATAATAGTACACATTGGCAGTTCAGACGGTTTTGTTGAAGGTGGTTTATTAACTTTTGAATCAACTCGTACAGGTGACTACCATGAAGACATGAACGCTGATGTCTTTCAAGAATGGTTCGAACAAATGATAGATCTTCTTCCTAAGAACTGTGTAATAGTAATGGATAATGCAAGTTATCACTCCAGACTTATAGAAGGACTGCCCACAACCAAGTGGTTAAAAAAAGACTTGCAGAATTGGCTGAGTTCAAAAAATATTACGTACCATCCCGGATCTATAAGAAAGGAACTTTATTCGTTGTGTGCCCTTCATAAAGAAAAATTTAAAAAATACGAAATTGATGAAATTGCCAAAAATCGTGAAATGACAGTACTTAGATCCCCACCATATCATTGTGAATTAAACCCGATTGAACTGGTATGGGCACAGATAAAGAGTGAAGTTTCAAGAAAAAATACCACTTTTAAAATTCATGATCTTAAACAGTTGTTTTTGGAGGCCGTAAATAATGTAAAACCTGAAAACTGGGAAAAGGCAGTAAATCACACTATTAAAGAAGAGGAAAAAATGTGGAAGCTGGACAATATTACTGATAAAATGATCAAGCCAGTTATTATAAATCTTGGTTCTGAAAGTTCATCTACTGAATCTGATTTGGATTTGTAACAAGTAGCTGTAAGTTTTATATTAATATTTTTATTCATCTATTTAACATACCTTAGACGGTTTTAAAAACTCTTTTTCTCTTTTGTAATTTTTAAAAATTAAAAAAAATGTGAATTTTTTAAAACCCTTTTTAATGTAGGCCAGTCAGTTCTAATATAGTGTGTGATAAAAGAGGTCACTTTTGTTTACATACACATAACACTTTATAACACTGAAATAATTCATTTATTTTTTACAATTATTCAAAGTAATTTTTCAATTAATCTTGAGCACGCCCATGGATGGTCGAGGTACCAGTTAAAATTATGCTAATTACTCTCTCGTTCATAAAAATAAACTATAGTATACAAACTTTGAGTACACCTTATAATTCGCTACTGCGCGTGAAAAATGAGATAAGTCAAAAAAAGTATATCTGAGTAAATTGAAATTAAAAATTGGAGGGAAAATTTCGTATCTAGTAAAGGCATTTGTAAATATGTTCGGATACCTTAATTTTGCGAGAGAATGTAGAAACATTGAACAAATAGTAGGGTCAATAGAAAATTAAAAAAAAGTTACGGTATCAAGACTTTTGATTGACTTAACCCCCTTTTACCCAATGAGCTGTTTGACTTATATCTTTTTTCACAGACTTAACCCTTTTTACACAAAGATTTTGTTGACATATCTTTTTTCACAGACTTTTGAATGACTAACGCCAACATCCACAATCAGTTAGTTTGACTTTTTTTTTCACTTAGGACAATAAAAATAAAAGGACATAAAAGTTTGCAGTATAAAGGATTTATTTCCTAAAAACATTATAAACTAGGTACTAATCTTCCACCTCAGAAGATGACTCATTTAGCAGAACTATTTCTTCATTGCTCGTCGGAAGATTAGTGTAAAAATTCTACAATGAATGTGGAATATATTGCAGAAGATCCATCAAATGTTGCTTTTTTTCTACTGTAATAGGAACAACTCCTCTAGTGCATTTTGGTGTTAACATGTTGTTACTTCTTTCCATCTTCTCAAAACTGACAACTTGGAATGGTTCGTCGTCGACGAGGGAATTTTTATACAAAACAGTTCGTTTATTGTTTTCTATCGAAGCCAGCGTACATCTCTCCAATTCATTTTATTTCCCACATTGTTTACTTTTCGATTAGTGAGCGATGAAATGAATCTTCTCTCTCTTCTTACGGTGCCTTATCCTTAAGGACGTTGGCCATTACATTTGCCCATTTAATCTTATTTGTCATGTTCGTCCATTGCCGTAGGTTTTTAAGCCAAGAGTTGCGTCTTCTTCCTGATCCTCTTTTGCTATTGACTTTACCTTCGATTATAAGTTGGAGCAGTTCATACTTTTGATTTCTTATGATGTGACCAAAATATTGTGTTTTCCGTTCTTTTATTGTAAGCATAAGCTCTCTTTCCTTATTCATCCTCCGCAAGACTTCCGCATTTGTCATATGGCTCATGTAGGATATTCTGAGCATTTTACGGTAACACCAGAGTTCGAATGCTTGGATTCTTTTTTGTGTTGCTTCTGTCATTGTCCAGGCTTCAACACCATAGAGCAAGGTGGAGAAAAGCATAGCACTTAAGTATTCTAATTCTCTATGAGATGCCCACCTGACGATTGCATAGAACTTTTTGCATTTTGTAAAACATTGTACGTGCCTTTTCCAGGCGTATTCTTATCTCTAGTGAGTGGTCCCAAGTTTCATCAAGATAACTTCCAAGGTACGTTGTTCTTGTTACTCTTTCCCGATCTGTTCCGTTGACATTGGCATTCACCCTTCTGTTTTGGTGCTTGTTGATGACCATCGTTTTTGTCTTCTTTGTATTTAATTTCATTCCAAATTCTCTACAGGCTGTCGTTACTCGATCCATTAAGCGTTGCAGGGCTTCAGCATTATCTGCCAGTATGACAGTGTCATCAGCATATTGCAGGTTATTTATACATTGTCCGTTTATAATTATACCATCCGAGGTGCCTTCCAGAGCTTTCTGAAATATCTTCTCAGAGTAAACATTGAACAGCAAAGGTGATAGGACACATCCCTGTCTTACTCCCTTCTCGATATTGATTTTTCCAGATGTTTCGCTTTTTATTCTGATTTTAGCCTTTTGTTCTTGGTAGAGGTTTGAAATGATCCTTAAGTCTTTATCGTCGATATTACATGACCTTAAAATATCTATTAGTTTATCATGTTTCACCAGGTCAAACGCCTTCTGAAAGTCTATAAAACACAAGTATACATCAGAATCGACATCTCTACATCTTTCAACTAGCACACGTATTGAAAAAAGTGCTTCTCTTGTTCCGAACCCATTCTTAAAACCAAACTGAGTTTGTCCAGTGTGTTCATCTAGTTTATTGTATACTCTATTGTGTATTATGAAATGAATAGTTATGCATAATTAAAGATCTCATTTCCCTCCATCTCGGTAACAACTTTAAAAGGTCGTTTTTTACCTACTTGACGAATAAGTTGAGTCCAGTCATGAGGATGTACAGTATTACCATCAAATTTATTTTTCTCTATTAAACTGTGGTCTGTATCACACTCCATATGGGTGTGCCCAGGGAGAAGGAATTTGTGATCAATTATCTCTATATTTGAATTTCGTAAAGCCACAAGACAAGCTGCCGACATAAAAGAATTTTTATTCTGACACCTCCACAAGAATCAGATTACATGACAACATGATTCACTGTATTTTCTATATATTTTAGCAAAAATTTACAAATGCACGAGCCAATTTAATTTTCCCCTCTTTTTGCTAATGATGATATTTAAAAGCAATCTCTTCCGGAGATGTTGCTATATTTCAAGTAACCAAATGATCCATCTTTAAAAAAAAGTCGTTCGAAAAGGCCCTTTAAAAATAATGACATTATTTAAATAGATGATTTATATTTTGTTGTAATCCAAGTAATTAATTTTAGATACTCTCCACCAATAACATCTGAACATCATACCTGCGTCGGACTGGCTTTTGAACTATGGAATCGTCTGAGACTCAACCTGGATAGCAAGTATCCAGGTATCGGCAACCACATTTGTGTTGTTTCCTGTGAGGAAGAAATTGACAGCCCTATTGTATACACCAATGCTTTTAAATATGATCCCACTTCTTTGCCGTACAGATTGGAAAAGGAACACGTCATGATGTGCTTGAAAGTTGAATTTTCCGGAAGAACTGCAGTGATGCTATGCGATCCCGGATATCACGTTGCTAGAGTGGTTACCGTCATGTCAGATGGAGCGTATCCACATACAGGTATAGTGTTTTATTGGATATTACATTTATTTAACCATTTCAGAACCGCACCGATTGCAAACGGCGGTGTTTACTGGATCACAGCCGCCAGTTTATTCGAGTTCGGTCCTGAAATGCGGTTTCAGATAATTTTATATTATTTTTTAGTGTTCTTTAAAGCCTATTCATGAAAATAACAATTTTGGATAAGAAAATAGATCATTCATTTGTGAAAATACATTTTATTAACTAAAAAAAAAATCGTTGGACTTTCAGACAGTTTTTCTAATAGACGATCGGAATCTTTCACGTCGAAATTCTCAAGGGAAGGTTTGACGTCAACTGTATTTCCAAGAAATGTGTTTGTCAGCTTATTAGCTGACCTTTTTTTTCACGAGATGGTACTCGATCGTCCTGATTAGGTTGACTATTCTCAGCGTCTGTACCATTTCATTCCAAGCTTTAAACTTCACATATAAACATTTAGCAACCTCCATTCGGAATTTCCACAAATGCATGTTTGTAGGAACTCCTTTCTGTTCCAATGCTCTGCGATAGAACAACCAATCATTTATGCTTGCCAGATCGAAAAATGGCAGAAAATTCAGAAGTACCATTTTTTAGATCTGAGGGAAATTTAATTTCTACCTACGTAGTTATCAAGGAGGTTTTCCCCCATACGTGTTTATTATGCATTTTAATAATGTTGGGACATTCCTTTCAATACTTCTTTTCCTTTTGCGATCGAATCTTGTTATTTTGCTTTAAGGAAAGCTACCTTGTGCATGTTGAAAGAAGTGTTAAAGGCTTGTTGTTAATCCATGTAACATTGATGACCTACTCCATCAACGTAAGCTGTATGTTCTTCAGAAGTTCGTCTTGCACACTTCTTTACATTTTTATCGTTTATGACCTTACAATTATAAATTCTATTTCTTGTTTTGCCATGTAATCAACAAGTGGGAGAGATGTATAATAATTGTCACAATATAGAGTCTAACTTTGTTGTTTTGGTATCATCCTTGCCAGGCAGACAACAATGTTTCCGCTGTGTTCCAGATATGGCTCACCATCAGTTCTTTTGGTGAGTAAACTTTCTTGACCTGTATACATCTCAAAATTGTATGCATATCCTGTAACTCTGCACAAAATAAAGTTTAAACCCCATTTATTCGGTTTCAAAAGGCTTAAGACGGTTTTAAGTGGTACCGGACTTTCGTGGTACAGATTTGCTCATCAATAGACACTTTAAGTTTGTTAATTGACATTGCATTGATAATATAATGTGGTACCCCCATTCAATAGCAGCTTGTTCTGAGCAAGGACACCACAGACATATACTGGACATATTCGTATGATTTTTTTATATTCATATGGTCATATTTATTGCTTCTGTTTGGGTTTTTTGGACTTTATACAAGTTTGTTCATAAATTAACGTAATTATTTCTTTATTGATAAAGTATTGGAAACATCGTAAGGCGACATAGTTTCTGTAAGAAATTGATCTGGTAGCGTCGAGGAACCCTTAAAATCCGATGCCTCTTCATCGATTTTCAAGTTGTTTATTTCTTAGAAAACGTTTCTATACACAACCTTACCAGAAACAGCACTGGTGACCTCTTGTGTAAGAACTTCAGGTTCTGACGTCTCATTTTAAAAGTCAGTATCATCAAGGATATTCTTCTGGAGCACGTATATCATCTGAAAAATCGCTTTTCGTAAACTGTTCCCAGTGTTCATTTTTTGTTCTTTTTTTCATTTCGTATTCTTTAATAGGTGTCTCAGGATTCTGGATAATTTAATATTTTGTACTTAGTATAGGCTTCTCGGTTCTCTTTACATTTCTCTTTGATTTTTTTTCTGAACCATGGTGTATTGTTGTTTCTTTTGTTCAGTATGACTTTGCGTTTTCCTAAAGCTTCTGTTGTTGCTTTATCAATGTTTTACTCCCGGAACTATTTCAAGTCACCCATAAGAATTAAGGGTTCTTCATGAGGTATTTCATCCAGGATTGTTTGCAATTGTTCGTAGAATGCCTCTCGTTCCTCCTTAGGTTTGCAGTCTTCGGGGCTATAGATAGATATGACATTAATTTTTTTTATTGTAATTATAATAATGCAAACTATAGTACCTACTGTAAAGTGTTAGTAATAATTTTATCATTACTTTCAGGTTGGTTTATACAGTCAGAGGAAGGCAACACCCGCAAAGACTACAACTACCAATTAACACCAAACAACAAGCACTTCGTGGAATGGAACGAAAGAACAACGAGAAACGGAAAAGTAGATACATTTGCAGGTATCATTTATGTCGGTAGGCCTTATTTAACAGCCGTAGATGTTACGGAAAGGAGAAATTTGGTCTACGGATTTAAAAGCTTACTGTCCAGAGACCAGAAGGGTGACTTAATTGCAGGTATATATTTCAAGTTGTTGCAGAATGGAGACGAATTTACCATCTTCTATCAAAATATGGGCAAGCAGCGAATAAAACTAAGGTTCTCCGATTTTATGAAACCGGAGGTAAGATTATTTTACAATATTGCTTAAAATGTTAGTTCGCTTTCAAAATTATTTTATTTTCAATCTTTGTCAATAGTTTCGAACTAAAATTTACTTGTAGTATGCTAGACTTGCTCAGTACCGGACATAAAGACTTTGTTTTGTTTTTTTCTTTGTTCAAGCTGTTTGGTTGTGTTTTTCTGGCTGGTTGCATTTTCTTTTCTTTCTTCTCTGTTGCCTTTTTGATCTTCTCTTGTGACTCCTTAAACTACTTCTCCAACATAGTTTTATAAGGAGATCCAATCAAAATCTCACTCTCTTCAGTTCGTTTCTTTCTCTGAATAATTTCTTCGTAGCCTCGTTTGTTGTAGCTGAAGTTTTGTCTCAATTAGAAATAAGGAAAACTTATTGCTCTGAAGTCCATTACAGGATTTGGAAGTGCTGACAGCAGTAGCTAAAGGTAGAGCTGTCACAGTAGAGCTACTTGATGCCGAAGATGTGCAGTGCGAAAAAACTGCAACTGTGGAGCACGATTTTAGTGATTTTTCAAAAGAGGTAGATAAAGCTGTATCAAACCTGTCTGTTGCAGCCAATGGTGGTACAGATAAGAGCGTTGTTGTGCAGGGGACTATATCACTATGGGTTTCATTGTCTTGGCAAATGGTCTTCTGCAATTGGTACAAACCAGTATAGGCAAACCCAGACTTTGCATGTTCCATCCTACAAATAGTTTTGAAAGCTGTTTTAACCAATCCAGCAATGTCTCTTTGGGTTATTTTAAGCGGGCGATATTGGTTCATCCACTTTGCAAAAGCCTCATTGTAAGCAGCCTTGAATGTTCTCATTATTGCTCGATCAAGAGGCTGAAGTTTGTGAGTGTTATGGGGGATAGACTTACGTGAACATTGTGATCGCTTGCATTTATAATGACTTATAGTTCAGAAAGGATACCCAAGCCAACTATGACTTTAGTATATAGGACTTTCCTATATACTAAAAAATAGAAAATACCCCTAATATTTAAAAACAAGAGTCTTCAACCAATGTATACTTCCTGTTCTTACCTACGGTTCTCAAACTTGGACGTTTACAAAGGTTTGCCTTTTTTTGCCCATTTTGGAAAAAATAGCAAAGACCCAAAGAGCCATGGAAAGGCAAATGTTGAACATCAGGCTATCAGACAAGAAAATAAATACTTATTTATTTATTTTTAAAAGAGGAGGCCTATGTCCAAAATTGGACAGCAAGGTCTCTATAGATAGATAGATCAAAACTACTTTTCTGCTTCTTTCTCAACGTGATTTTACCAATCTACTTTTTCTTTTCTGTGATAGAACCATTGAGGCAGACCAGAAAAACTCCCGTCTTATCGCAGTTAAAACACCTTTGAGGAAGTAAAGTTAAATTTTGATAGCAGCGCTTCATATTTGTTGAAAATGTCCACTTGTGGTTTGTTAAAACCGACAGCTCTTTGAATTCTTGTTGGCTGTGGTTTTCGCAACGAAAAGTTGGGGATGGTAGCTCAAAAATTCATAATAAAACTTGTCTCCTGCAATCGTTTTTTATTTATTAAATTAGTTCTGAAGTTTTAAATGCTCATCTAAATCAAAAGCAAATCTTTAAAACTCTTATTTGTTCATAGGCAACGTTTTCTTAGCTAAATCTATTAAATGCCTTGACTAATTTGGTTTTTAGCTCTTCAGAAAATGTCTTCTTAAAATGGGTGGCTTCATATCCTCGTTCTCACCTCCTCTTAGTTGTTTATGTCTGCCAGCTTGCTCTTTGGGACAGAAAAATAAAAAGAAGCTTGTCTAATAGTCATTTTGTTCTCCAATACTAACCTTAATACCCAACTTTTCTATTAATACTCAAATGATACCTAACCTCTCAATCGGTTCACTAATTTTTTGTGGAGTTCCATGACATTTAAGCCACCTTTTTAATTGCATGAAGCACCATCAACGATTTATTCTGATGATTGATTCAATTGTGGAGATAATACTGCGTTTCCACCCACTGTTAATCAAAACAGTTCGAAACAATTCAATTGCCGTTCTTTGAACATGGCAGCTGCGCTTGTGCTCGTCACATCATGATACTATGAATAACAAGATAACATGATACTAAGACTTCCAAGATAAACCCACTTCGCAATCGAATTTTGTACATCGACGCGCATGACGTCAATTGGTGATAAAAGTCACTTTTATCATCACAGTCAGTAAAACATATATGGAAAGAAAGGGGTTTTTATTTAAATATTTAGAATATTAAGGGATGTTAGGTAAAATATCTGCAATTAAATCTTAAAAATATGTTATATATACATCTCTGTTAGCCTAGCAATGTAAACTAAAATTATATAAAAAAGTAAGAACTAAACATCCTTTTGCAAATGGAAATTTATATACAATGGATTGATTTATTAAAATAAAAATTTAATACAACTGATAAAATAAAATACACTGTAATAATTTACAAGTTTATTTAACAATTTATTTTACAATTTTTAATATTTTCTTCTTCTTAACTTTGGATGTTTCTTTAATATATCTATTCAATTTTCTAATTTTAAAATATAATTTACACCTTTACCAACATTACATCTGAACACAGCTAAATCCATTAGCGGTTTTAAATAATTCTTGGTTAATTTTAATGACCCTTTGTTAAAATTGTTAAAAATATGGTCCAGTTCATTACATTTAATTAGAAAATCTGGATATGGTTTAAGTAAACCTCCTTCGGAAAGATGGTTTACCCAGTAAACCGATGTCAACGTACAAGATAAACGATAAAACAAAACTAAATCTCAAGGTTAGTAGATATTTAAGTAGATACTTAAATATCTACTAACCTTGACTAAATCTGACAAAACTCCATACAACACAGAACATTTCTGGTGACATTTGTCGCCAAGTGATGTCACACGACTGATCGCGTGCGCGTGGGTTTATCTGTAGTTTATAGTATCATGATACTAAGACTTCCAATATAAACCCACTTCGCAATCGAATTTTGTACATCGACGCGCATGACGTCAATTGGTGATAAAAGTCACTTTTATCACCAACCTTTTATCATCACAGTCGGTAAAACATATATGGAAAGAAAGGGGTTTTTATTTAAATATTTAGAATATTAAGGGATGTTAGGTAAAATATCTGCAATTAAATCTTAAAAATATGTTATATATACATCTCTGTTAGCCTAGCAATGTAAACTAAAATTATATAAAAAAGTAAGAACTAAACATTCTTTTGCAAATGGAAATTTATATACAATGGATTGATTTATTAAAATAAAAATTTAATACAACTGATAAAATAAAATACACTGTAATAATTTACAAGTTTATTTAACAATTTATTTTACAATTTTTAATATTTTCTTCTTCTTAACTTTGGATGTTTCTTTAATATATCTATTCAATTTTCTAATTTTAAAATATAATTTACACCTTTACCAACATTACATCTGAACACAGCTAAATCCATTAGCGATTTTAAATAATTCTTGGTTAATTTTAATGACCCTTTGTTAAAATTGTTAAAAATATGGTCCAGTTCATTACATTGAATTAGAAAATCTGGATATGGTTTAAGTAAACCTCCTTCGGAAAGATGGTTTACCCAGTAAACCGATGTCAACGTACAAGATAAACGATAAAACAAAACTAAATCTCAAGGTTAGTAGATATTTAAGTAGATACTTAAATATCTACTAACCTTGACTAAATCTGACAAAACTCCATACAACACAGAACATTTCTGGTGACATTTGTCGCCAAGTGACGTCACACGACTGATCGCGTGCGCGTGGGTTTATCTGTAGTTTATAGTATCATGACAAGATAAGATCTTCCCGTAGCTCAAAATCGGTCGGGTTCGCGCATGCCGTCATTGGAGACTAGAATTTGAATTCTTGTTAAAGTTAAATGAGATTTGTATGCATTCTGTGATGAAATTACTAGACGAAAATAAGTTAAGAGGTTTAATAATTACAATAATCGTACACATAAGGATATCTCCAAACTATTTATTAAAGATTATTTATAGATATATACAAAAACTGACATTTCGAACGTGCAAGTCTCCAATGACGTCACAAAAACATGCGCAATATCTTATAGTCATAGTATCATGCGTCACATTATGAAAAAGGCCTACTGAAGTCAGCAGCTGTCACTTTACTGTCTGTCATCCGCATGTGTTGCGACTATAATTAATTTAAAAGTTAACATTCATTTGTATTGTTCATCGTGATAAATATAAACAGTATGAAAGCGAATTGTTTAACTTTAACCACCCCTGTATTAGATAATTTTGGAAATCAAATCAAAATAATTAATAAATGTTTTTTGTTTCTAGATTGACAAAGGATTACTGGAGAAAATCTCAATATGTAACGAACAGCTGAACTTACAAGAGAACAAGTTACTTAACATCATCCGGACGTCCGGCACAATATTGAGAGATACATCATTCCTGTTGCAGTTATTGGACGTGGATCGTTGTATCAGTATTTTGTCGGCGAACAATTAAATTCCACATTATCTTACATTTCTTTTACCTTCAGCCCTCTCCTTTTATTTCTCCCAATTCTTATTTAACTTAGTTTTAGTCATGCGTTTACTAAAAAAATACATATTTTATTATGAAACGCACAGAAATATATTTATTTAATTTTTTAACAATTATTGAGTAAATCTAGTTTTGTAGTTTTAATCATTGTTTGAATTTCAAATTTATATAACTTAATTTATGTTTCTGGGCGCTTCATACAAACTAAATATGCCGAAATCGTGTATATTAAAGAAACTCGCTGTATGAAAACCACATAATCCCAACAAGTGCATATAGCATTTTTCAGATAAAAAAGCTTGCACGTCATTGAAGATTTACGTCTTCAGAACCCCACAGCGTTGCCAAAACATCAGAATAGTTAGTAAGTGAGGAATTTTTAAAATGTCAACTATTTGTCAAACTATTATATTAACAGTAAATACGCTTAGTTTTAAGACTACTGCAACACATGAAAATACATAAGAAACCATTTTAATACAAAATTATATATTCTAAATTTTAAACTTACCTCTTTTAGGGCTTTAATAACAAAAAAGTCCCGCCATTATTTCTTGTTCCAAAATATCTATTTTATATGAAAGCTTATCAGCTTTTTACAGACTTTTATCTGTTTTGGCATATCACAATACACAACAATAATTAGTTTTTAAAGCTATTAATCTAAATTTAAAATACATTTATAAATACAATTTATTAATATATATTATATTATGATCAAATTGTGTAAGACGTCAAAGCATAAACAAAATTTCTACTCTAAAAAAGCGGCAACACATAATACACTTTTACCATCCGCTGAACTGTCAATATTATTTGATATATTTCCGTATCAGTTGCGTACAATTGTCTAATATATTTAATTAAAGATATTATTTTGTGGAATATTGGACTTCAAGAGTTATTTCATAAAATTTATATTATTAATAATAATAAATATTTTTGGTTATTTATTCAATATAATTCTAAAATTTCCAATATAATGATGATTATATTTTTCTGATTATTACACCATGTTGACGCCTATGAAAGATCGAGCAGTTCCGTATGGGTTTCGTATTATTAGCTGTGTTAGGAAAATTTGAACTATAAGGTTGATGTTCTGGAAATTTTAAATACAAGTGACGTCACTTTGTATAAATCGTGACGTGCAAGTGTTTTACTTTGAAAAATGGTATATTATATCATTTTTTATTTCATTCTTAACGTAATAGTTAAGCTTGCAACTGTGTCTAATTTATTTAATTCTACTTTTAATTAATTTTTGCTTTTAAGATTACTTTTTATTAATAATTTGGATTGTCCAGCAGTTCATTTTCTTTAAGTTTTCTAATTCAGATTTTACATACCTGTTAACTTGATTTTGATATGACACTGCATTGTGTTGATGAGAAGTGAATTCTCGATACTTTACCTACTTATGATGTAACTGATGTAAGATTGCTATTAAATGTGATCTGTGGTCACATTTCTTGCTATCGCTGAACCAAAAAACACGCACATAACCAGTTTCTCCGGTTTTGTTCTAACAGGAGTTGTATGGGTTTTACTTTCATATGTTCCAGAATTCTTTAGATACTGTTTTGTTTATTGTTGTTTATTAATGAATGATAAATTCTCCAGTTATACCAGAGTAGTCTTTTAGGTGCAAAGTGCAATATCAATAATATACACGATTTCTTTATATTTAAGAAAAATAAAATTTATGCTTTTAGGTATATTTGACTTAGTTTGTAGTTTTAGTATCTATTAAATAAATTGCTTATTTTACCAAATTGACCCCAGCTCTGCAAGGTAGGCCATACATTATACGCAGTGGTATAATAGTTGTTGCATACATACCAGGCTGAGAATTTTAAAGTAGGATATCCGTCTATAAAATGTAACGATTCACGAATTTTATATTTTTTAATTTAATTAATCTTACTTCGCACAGGTTCACACAGCTTAACATAAACTTCCTGTTAAATATTTATCACGGAAATAACAGTTAATTCTCGTTCCATTAAGCAGCTTTCACTTTGACTGAAAAGTCAGATGTCACAGACTTAAGAGCTTTCATCAAATTTTAGGCGGAACTTACTTAATTTTTATTTATGTTTTTATATATCTGTATATTTAACTAAAATATTCAGTTTTTTGGAATTATGAGGTACGTACATATTCATAAAAAAAGAACTGAATATGTTTAGATATTTTATGATACTCCTATTTTTCTTGTAGTTTAGTTGAATAAAAATATAACAGACCTTACATTATGTTTTATTTATGTTGTCTAATTTCAGGGGTAATGCACAAGAGTTTTTTTTCTATTCTCATACTTTAATATATCAATTACAATTTCAATACCTATGTATCATACCTAATAGGCTTCATTATGATACAGATTTAATAACGAGAACTAATAGAATAACGAGATAACGTTTTGTATGAAGGTGGCACATAGGCAATGAGCATGATACAATAAACCATGATACTATGAATAACAAGATAGGATCTTCCCGTAGCTCAAAATCGGTCGGGTTCGCGCATGCCGTCATTGGAGACTAGAATTTGAATTCTTGTTAAAGTTAAATGATATTTGTATGCATTCTGTGATGAAATTACTAAACGAAAATAAGTTAAGAGGTTTAATAATTACAATAATCGTACACATAAGGATATCTCCAAACTATTTATTAACGATTATTTATTGATATATACAAAAACTGACATTTCGAACGTGCAAGTCTCCAATGACGTCACAAAAACATGCGCAATATCTTATCTTATAGTCATAGCATCGAGCAATAAGACAAAAGAGGGAATCTAATCCTTATGAAAAGGAGACCAAAAAAGTGGCCTCTGATGGCGGACATATCCGGAAATGCGAATGCGCGAAATTTAAATTTTCCGACACTTATCAACAGTAGCTATATAATATTGTTCAGAATGTGTCTTAGACGAGAAAGTTTTTATTAATTATTAATGATAAGAGTCTAAAATGCGACACAATTGTTAAAAAACTTCAATATAAATAAGATTTCATGTGACATTTGGGACAACAACAATAACATAACCCAACTAAATTTGATGTCAAACAAGGAGAGAGACTCTCTTTCCTTGTTTAATGTGGCCTCTAAAGATCGCACTTCCTGTCTAACATTATGTTTGCCCCCACTACCTTTACATTCCCTCTATTGTCTTTTTGCTCGATGAGTCATAGTACCATGGTTTGAACCATATTGTGTTCACAGACCCATCAGTGGCAGACCAGTTCTCATACTAGATAATATGGGGAAGAGGCGTGTACCTTGGGAAAAAATTTGCTTTTAATTTTTTATGTTTTCTTTTTTCATCTGAAACTAAAATGTATTTGATCCAAGTAAAAGAAGATAGATTTAAGCACAAAACTGATAATAAAAATATCGATAATAACCAATGAGTAAATATAGTACTTACCATATAAGTATTAGTCCCAAGGTTCAACCTGTGGTTTATCTTTCGGACAATGTTGGTTGTACATTGGGACATGAAGTAACTGTATTTATATAAATAAAACAAATATTGGAATACCTTTTTTATTGATGTAAAAAACCAACAAAACTATTTTTTTGTGTTTTTATATTATTTAAAAGAAATATTTTGTGGAAGGGTAAAGTTGAAAGAATGAAAACCGCATCGTATTTTGGGCACAGGCAACACTTTCACTATGCTTGAATACTTCACAACGGCAATATATTCAATATTAGGGGAGGCTAAACAAACATTCCGTTTTTGGAGAAACTTCATAGTAACTTCTTGGTTTATGCTTTCTTGAGCCAAACCAGCATAGCAGTGAATGTAGCTTTTCCCATGACTTCAAATTTTACTACAACACAGCTACCCATGGACGTATAAATAAAGAAAATCTTTATTTATACGTCCATGCATCTGCCAATGGTAAAATTAAGAGCAACTTTGTCTGGTGGAAAGAAATCAGGAATGTATTTATCTTCGGAACTTAAATAATAAAATCTGCTTCCATCGGAGATGACTTTAAGCTCGAGCTCGTCTTCATCTTCAGACGAAGAAGAAGATACAGCTAGTGCTCTTTTGACAGCCTCTTTTTTCCTCGGGACTGGGTTACATATTTTAATTTTCTCCAACTCTGGGACAATCATACATCTTGCTGGCCTCCTTTCCCTTACACGTCTTACGCGGTGAATTTGTTCAGGGGTCATTCCAGTATTGGGACTTGGCGCACACTGCTTGTTTATGGTATGGCTTCATCAACTTCCATAAGTTCTGTCTCTTCAATTTTGGTTTGTTTTGGAGGTTCACATTTTTTCGGAACCGAACATGTTGGCACACGCGAGTACAGTTACCCTTTCTTTTGATAACTTGCCACATATACAACGTTCATTTTTGAATTTGAGGGTCTTATCTGGAGTAAGTTTAAAAAAAGTTCCAACTGTAATTTTATCTCATTTTAGGCCATGACTTCAACCAGTTGTCGGGGACTTCTTTGAAAACACTTTTCGCTTAATGGCAAAGTTATCCAAACGTAATTTCGTGTCTGGCCTTAAAACGGCTCATCCACCCACTCGATGATTTAAAATTCTCATCACTATCTAGCGCTTGCAAAAACTGTGTTGCTTTTTTTTTGAAGCAGTGTTTTTACCTGTTTACGGTAAACCATTTGACCATTGCAGTATCGAGTTCTTTGTTAGTAGCGGCACGTAGTTTTTCCGATTTAGAAAAAAACTGTGAAATGAAATTCTAGTGAAATTTGTTTCATTTGTCATGTTTTTTAAGTATCTTTCCGTAGTTTATTAGATGCGAATGGTCAATCTCCTACACTGACAATTGTGAATCATAAATTGTAAATTTCCGATAACACAATATCGGTCGGTAGATTAAACAGAAGAAGTTTAATGTGGGCGGCAGTTAAAAGAGGTATTTGCCTCGCTATAGAGAGTTAGTTCAATAGAAATTTCAAG